GGAGGTGGAGGTTGCAATGAGCCGAGATTACGCCATTGCACTCCAGCCTCGGAGACAGAGGCAAGGCTCCGTCTCAAAAAAAAAAAAAAAAGAAAAAGAAAGAAAGAAAATTCATAGTTTAACAAGCTAAACTCCTTTAAAATTAACTATCTGAAATTTAACTTATAGTTGATAATATTATAAAAATGAGAAATGGAGAAATTGTCCTTAAAAGAAAACCCCAACCATTTATCACTGCAATCATTTTGAAGAAGTTGCTTACTGTGTCATAGATTCTGAGCCTAGTCTGAAGTCCTGGGACTTGTTCTTATTGATTGATTGCTTTGGAAGAAGAGGAAAAATCAAGTAGTAAGTAAAAAATGGTTTCACCGTGGTCTCGATCTCCTGACCTTGTGATCCGCCCGCCTCGGCCTCCCAAAGTGCTGGGATTACAGGCGTGAGCCACCGCGCCCGACCTCAGCCTGTATCTTTCCTTCATATTCTTTACAGTATACTCTATTTTCAGGGTAATACGCATTGAACTGTATGCAAGATTTTGAATTTGAAAACTCTTTAAAATCTACAAAATGTGTTCAGTATATCTTGTTTTATTAATGACACCTTCGTGAGAAAAACAATAAGCACTTTCAAGGGTACCAAATTATAACCTGAATGTTGGATACTTCCTTTAGAATCTGAAACATTAACTTCAAATTATACTGAGGGAAACTGAGTTTGGTATGAGATATAGTATTCTATAAATCAACCTAATGTTGCTATAAAATGAATTGCAATATTTTTTAGAGATAATCACATGTTATGGAAAGGATCCATTAAACATTCAGAAAGAAAATATGAATTGTTATTATGTTGAAGTTCAATTATATACAAATGAAGGAGATATACCATATGTTTCTAATTATTTCAGTAATCCAGAAAACATAAAAATAAAATGAAATGAAAGAAAAGGAATACAACCTTCTCTTTCAGTCTTGTTTGAGTAACTGCTTTCCCGGTGGTATCTCTACTGAAGCTTGTTTGGCCTTTTTAGATTTCCTTCTTCACAATCAGATTTCGGCAAGATCATTCTTCAGCAAGATTTGGCACTATCTTTAAAGAAGCATTACTTTTCTTACAGATTTCAAGAGGATATTATGCTTTTCTGGACCATAATTATATGACTATTACTGCTAACTGTATAGCTTTAAGTCAAGTATAATAAAAACAAGAATTGAAGAGCAAGGAGACTTTGTGGTAAAAGGTGAGTGTTGTAACAGGTGACCCAATTTGGTAGAACAACAAAAGTACCCCTGACATCTTGATTTTTCTCCACCAGTGGAATTGCTCTGACTCAGTTAAAACGTGTTTGGGAAAAAAGTACACATACACGGGAAATCTCAGATTCAACTACTAATTCAGACTGCCCTCATCCAATAGAGCAATAAGCAAAGAAAATCATCAAAACCTCAGAAAGCACCATCATAACAGAAATTATCCTGTTTCTTTCTAGACTTGTGAAATAAATTCTAAACACAGCAATCAAATTAAATGTGAAATGTTTTATTCTTTTCTATTTTTTAGAGATGGGGTCACGCTTTGCCGCTCAGGGTGGAGTACAGTGGTATGATCATAGCTCACTGCAGCCTTGAACTCCTGGGCTCAAGCAATCCTCCATCTCAGCCTTCTCAGTTGCTGGGATTACAGGTGTGCACTTCCATGTCCAGCTATTCTTTACAAGGTCTTGGCATCATTTTTATCTCGTTGCCCATGGCAAGACCAGTATCTTACCATTAATATAGGTATATATGAAACTTGATAAAACTTTTCAAAAAATAACATAAGGGCTCTAATCAGAAATTCTCATCAATTTGAACCTATTCCAGAGGTTGAGAGAAGTCACACTGAACTATATATCAGTGTTAAGCCAATGTTACTTTTAATTATTTTTTGTTATCCTGAAAAATGAGTAACAATATGTTGCCATGCGCAGGTCTTGCCAATTCTGCTAAGTTTGTTCATGTGAAATGGATGCTGTGACGTCCTCAGAAAGTTTGTCTTAGGTATGTTAAACATTGTCCCTGCCATCTTTCCTACTGCGTATTCCTACCACTGGGATACCTAAATCCTTTTTAACGATGCAGAGGCAGGTTAGCCTGTGTTCAAATTATATGACTCCTAAGTTAATACGGGGTCCACATTACAAAGTTTTAAAACTTACTTGAAAAGGACACTTAACTAGGACCAATATTTCACTTCTAAACACCTTTACTCATTCTTTGGTCTCAGCAGCAGCACGTCAGATGGGGCACAAGTGGGGGGAGGAAGGAGGTGGCTTTGTGAGCTGTTTTGTTTTATTTTACCTTTAAACAAAAAAGCCCCCAAGGCTGGTGTGCAATCAGCCTGCAAATACCCTCACCATCGACAAGGCCAAGGAACATGACTGCCCTTCTTTCCATACACACTTCTCAGACATTGTCTTATGACTTTGTTTCCTCTTCATGGATATCGTTGACTTAGAGAGGAAGCAAAGCAAAAGTGATGAGTGAAAGGACCCAAATCTAGAGATCCTTGCTTTCCAAACCCTCACAACTTGTTAGTGATGCTTTTAAATTTAAATGCAATGAGAGTTAACATAAAATAAATGATTAATGGAATGATGAAATGCTTCCACTGATTATGTGGAAATTTATAAGGAAGAAAACAACTCATAGATAGCTTTGTAAAAAAGAAATGGGCTATGCAAACAATTCCCCCAAATGTTTTTATAAACTTGAAGAATGAATATAAAATTAGGTTAATGTTCAATCGATGTACTGCATCTAGCGCACAAGACTTAAATAAGGCAAATTTATGGTACAGTATAGTTCTATTTTTACATGCTGCTTATATACCTCACTATAGATATACCTTTTCCATATAATTTCATAGTTTGTTTATATCTACTTTGTAGGGATTTTTTAAAAAAGGATGCAAGAGAGGAAAAACAACTAGGGTTGGTGGTTCAGTTCTTGCCTTGGTTCTGTCATTAACTCTATGTGGCCTGAGTAAACCACTTAGCCTCTCTTGGGGTCTTTTTTTTTTTCACTTGAAAGTGGGTGGGGGTTCAAAATAAAAACATAAGCATCATAGCACCATTCTCTTGTTTTACAGACCAGGAAGTGGAGGCCCAGAGTTACCAAGGACACAGAAGTAGTGTGAAGTTTATACTAGTGTTTTTCAAACTGATTTAAGGGCAAAACTATTTTCAATACAATTTTATTTGAAAGGCTCAGGTGTAAATATGTGAAATAAGAATTACTCTGGGTGAAACTAGGTTTGCATGGCCTGGCACCCCCTGCTTCCCAACCCTATGCCCCCAGATCCCTGAGGAATAGGGCCCTATAGATGGCAGTTTACGAACTACTGGAGTATACAAGCTCTACGCAAGACTAGAAAGGTTTCTTTTATTGCTACAATTCTGTTTCCCGGAGCACAATTTTATGATTTTAAATATTCACATAAGTTTGAAGTTTTCTTTGACTTTTGAATGTATGTATGTATATATTTGTTTATTCACTTACTTTCTAATTTGAGACAGGATCTCGTTCTGTCACTCAGGCTGGAGTGCAGTGGCGTGATCATAGCTCACTGTGGCCTTGACCTCCTGGGCTCAGGCCAACCTGTGGCCTCAGTCTCTTGAGTAGTTGGGACTACAGGTGTATGCCATCATGTCTAATTTTTTTTTGATTTTTTAGTAGAGATGAGGTTTCACTATATTGTCTGGATTAGTCTTAAACTCCTGGCCTCAAGTGATCCTCCTGCCCCAGCTTCCCAGAGTGCTAGAATTATGGCCATGAGCCACCGCGCCCGGCCTGATTTCAGAATTACTGATAATGTATCTGGTTTACTTGATGTTAAATCCTCTAATTATAATGCTCTTCCTTAAGGGAAAAAATTCTTCTGTATTAAGATGCAGCTTCTAGAAGCATACTGTAACAAAAAATGAAGACCACTGGGCGTGGTGGCTCACGCCTGTAATCCCAGCACTTTGGGAGGCCAAGGCAGGCAGATCACAAGGTCAGGAGTCCAAGACCAGCCTGGCCAACATGGTGAAATCCCGGTCTCTACTAAAAATGCAAAAATTAGCCGGGTGTGGTGGCGGGCACCTGTAATCCCAGTTACTCAGGAGGCTGAGGCAGGAGAATTGCTTGAACCCAGGAGGCGGAGGTTGCAGTGAGCCAAGATTATGCCACTCCACTCCAACCTGGGAGACAGAGTGAGATTCCATCTCCAAAAAGTGAAGACTATCCTGACCACAATTTGTAGTTTTGGATACTAATTGTGCCAATTAAAAACAGTAACAAATACTTATCTGTGGGGCAGCATAATTAGGAGGGTGTTTTGGAAGATAAGGCAAAAATACGTGAGAAAATCTATTTAATCTTTGAGGGGTGAGACCTAGATAAAAACTTATGAGATTTGGACTTTATAGACAAATATGGAGCCAACTAAGATTTATGCACTGGTAAGTCACATGATTTGTTTTCTATTTTAGGAAAGTATCTTCAGGAGGCAGGTAAAAGATGCAATGAAGACTGAAGAATGGGAGAATGGATACTGTTACCAGCAGAGACCAGAAGGCTGTATACCAGGCAGTGGCTGTTACAAAGAAATATCCTTCCCAAGTTCCTTCCCTTCAGTTCACTCTAAAAAAATGGCATTCCTTAAGGCCCTGTCTTCCACCCTTTATCATTTTCATTCTTGACACTCCTCTATTCCCATGGATTCCGATATCAAGTTTTCTTCAGAACATGACAACTTAGCAATGGTTAGTTTTCAGCAAACCAAGTTTAAACACAGCAATTTTTCTGAAAATATACTTGGATCCATAAATTTTAATCAAAACTATCTTGCAAATATGAGTTTTCAGCAAATCTCTCCTGAGCCTCATAGATGTCTGCAAGGTATCTGCAGTTGGCTGTTGCAGGTGCTATGAACTTTGCATGTCTCAAATGGAAGTCCTTCCTATATTATTACACACGGAGATGTTTCAGTCAGAAAGTCAGATGTCTTTTCCTTCACATGGATTTAGTCATCAATTCCTAGCTCCTTATTATTTTTGGCTTGAATTATTGCAACAGTCGCTTCTGGTCTTATTTCTTTCAGTAGGCTTTTCCCAGTCTTTTCAGTGCTTCTAGAATGAGCTTTTGAAACAACCAATATGATCATGTCATCCCCTTGCTTTAAATACTTTAATGGCTCCTTACTACCTTCAGGATAAAATTCAGCTCCTTAACACGCCAGTCAAGGACCTCCTCAATCCTGTCTACTTGTTCAGGTCCAGCTTTTTCTGCTTTCAACCT